GCAGGCATATGTGGTGCCTCGTTCTTAGTGTCGCCTGTCTACACGGCCGGACAGGAGGTCATCCTGTCCCTCCATCCCTCTATCTAGTTGTCTTCCCCTCCCTCTCTATCTCTAGCCATCGTTCGGGGGCGATGGGGCAGCGTCCGATCCCTCCAGCCCCGCAGCCCTCGGCTCTCCGCTGTCCTTCTCCGCCGCGGCTGTGGGTTCCTCGCCCCCTCCTGCCGCAGCGCTGGCCTGGTCGTCCGCCGAGTGTCCGCCAGTGCTCTGCTGCTGTTGCTTCTTCTTCCCAAAATCCACTACCGCCGCCGTCAGCGCCTCCCCCTCCAGTTCCTGGGGCTTCTGCTCAGGCTGAGCTGCCCGTTGCTGGGAGGGTGTGGTGGTCTGCTGGGCCGTCGCGCCTGGCGGCATGCCATAGAGTGCGTACGGCGGGTAGCCACCCCACCACTGCTGTGCTGCGGCCGGGGTGGGGGCGTGTTGTCCAGGGGGCGCCTGGTGGTTGTGGGTGGTGGTGTTCATGCCCTCACCCCCAGCCACGCCCATCCCCGTCCCGTCCGCCCCCATCATGCCCATCCATGGCATGTACCAATACATCGGCACCACCCCCTGTTGCTGCTGCTGCTGCTGCTGCTGCTGCGCCTCGTTGCGGGCCTTCTGCCGTCTCTCCCCGTCCTCCGTCTCGCCCTTCTCGCCCGGTAGCGGCAGCGGCCGCTTCGATGGGCTCCTCAGGGTGGGGATGGTGGCAGCGGCGGCAGCGGTCGCAACGCCGGTCTCGGTGACGGTCTCGGTGGCGGTGGCGAGGGCGGGGTTGGTGTTGTTGGTCGGCTCGGCGCCGGTCTGGGTGGCGGTGGTGGGGGCGGAGTGGATGCTCATGGTCGTTGCCCTCCCTTAGATGAGGCCGATGTGAGCGAGGGGGTTGAGCTCCTGCTCCTCCGTCAGCCCTGACGTCGGCTCGTCCCGGCGTGTGTCGTAGGCCGTGAAGATGGCGATCCGCTGGAAGGTGATGTGGGCCCCCCGCTGCTCACTCCCGCCCTGCTCGGTCACGAAGTTGTACACCACGGTCGTGACCCGCCTTCTGCGCTCTATCTCCTCCCGTTTCTCCGGCGTCTTATACGACACCGGCCCCTCGTTCCCTCTATGGTCGGTCCGCACGGTGAACACCTGCCGCACCACCATCCCCTCGGCGACGCGCCAGTCGTGGAAGCGCAGCGATGCGTGGCTGCCGTACACCGTCGTCACCGCCCCCAGGGCTATCTGCAGGGCGTCCTGGTGCGTCCACACCTCCCGTGGTAGCGGCGGCATCTCGCTCCCCCCCCTGGATGGTGACGATGCTGCCGATGGTCACCGCTATCTTGTCGTCTAGGTCGGTGATGTGGTCCATGGGGATGACAGTGAGGCGCACGGTGGTGTGGGCGA